TCTATATATATATATCTATATATAGATCACCAGCACGTGCAAGTCCTTACTGTTTAGCTGAAGTAGATATTTGCAGAACAGAAGAAAGAAGTTCAGCCAATTTTGTGTAAGTGTATGGTGCTGTTCTCTGTGCTAGTATGATGGACATAGGCAACTCCAAATAATGTTGCCCCATGAATGGCAACAACTTGGAAACAAATTTATAAACATGTAAAAGGTGATTTGCAAAAAATACATGTATAGAAAATGTATAGCTAAGTTTCAGAAGATACATGAAAATTACAATAACGTTTGAGCAATAGCAAGTCTCCATGACCAGTGCATCAGGTTACCAACAGCTAGAGACCTGTCCTATATAAATTAGTGAATGTGCTCACTAAGCATTCAGAGAAGCCCTGGTGGGGGTTATTTACATAAATAATAGAGACTGTGATTATATATTTTCCAAAAGGTGTACAGATTTACTGGTTGCAATGACAATTTAGGCATAAGATATAATATTAGGGAAAGTTGTGTTCACTGCAGACATTCAACCACATGAAAGCATCCTTTTTTTAAAAAACATTACTTGTATATGATAGGGAATTTAAAGTGAATACAGCTTCAATGTATTTACTAAATTACGTTAACATATACTTTGCTAAGTGAATTGTCTCAATTCCTTAAGTAAAGCAATCTCTCTGATTACTTTCTGGATACTGATATTGGTATTTATGGCATGTACCAGATTTCTTACCCTTTGCCATGTTACTATATTTTTTTTATTCAAACAAAAAAAAAAAGTGCAAACAATTTTTTTTGGCCTGTAAGCTTATGTTTTACAAAGAGCACATTTTACCTGTCAATTTTATATTGTCCTAGCAACATTTACAGGTACTGTGGATGAACAGAAATCAGATGGTTTGTATAGGACTTATTCATATATTTTTAAGGAAAAACAACTACATGTCATGTGATATAATTCATTTCTTGAGATATTTGGCACTAAATGGTAAACAAATGACAAAACAGTAGTCAACAAATTGGCTCTTTAATGAGCAAAGTAATCTTTTCAGCATTGGAATAATATTGATTATCCAGATTATTTTTATTTCACTCAATGACCAGTATTCTAGTCAAGAAGTACAAAGTAATTTTCGTTAAGTAATTACAATTTCTGTGTGTAATAAGCTTTTATTCTTGAAAAAGAGTAACTGAAAAGAAAGTTACTGCAGTTAGTTTGTCAGAGAAACATATTTGCATTATCTTACAAACTATCAAAATTATTAATAATTTTGAAAAATGTAAAAAAAAAAGAACGTAAACAAGGGAAAAAAAAGAAAAAGCGCAATAACTGTTTTCTATTAGAAATATACAGGTAAGAGAGAAAAGTATTTCTTAGTGATGTGCTCTTAACTCCACCTTTATCATTTTCCATATAAATGTACATCTGTTACATATACAAACACCTTGAAAAGATTGTGATAAATATTTTTTTTCCTGATAAACAATAGGGAAATTAATACTTTTGTGACTGGATAGTATTGGTATAAAATTACAGTCCCAGAATTGGGTTTATAAATCTTGTTGGCACCCTTCATTATAGTGTGTTCTTCATATCTACATATGTATACATTTTACTGATAATACTGCTGTGAGGTAACATCAATATATAAATAAATTTACAGTGATAACGAATAAAATTCATTTTGGAACACTTGTGGACATGCATCATGAGAAAAAAAAATATTTTTGAAATTTCAGTAGTGGGAAAATAACTCTTTGGACACACTGTTACTTACCAACATCATATGTCATCTATGCCAGCTATACTAAATGAAACTGAACCTGTTTTCTAGAAATTGTTTAGATTTAGCGCAATCTATAATAAAAATTTAAATACACATTTCCTTTGGGATTTGCACCAGTTTTTCACTTTCATCATTAACTTACAATGCACCTTTCATTTCTATCTAAATGCCGAGGAGAATACAGTGAATTACTGAACTTTAGTTACCTATCCCTCCCCTCTAAAAATCATCCTGAGGTTTGCCAATCGATGTAGTAATCTGTTATAAAAACTTTAATGGGATGAGAACAACTTTAATTGTGGCTTAATCAGCAGCACAGCCACCAAGCATACAAATTATCATGCACTTCGTGCTAAAAATATTGTTTCCTTTATTCCCACATTTGATAGTGACAGCACTTAAGTGATAATATTGTACCTGCCAGGACTTAAAACTCTTTGCTCAATTGGCAGTTAATAGAATGGGGCCAAATTAAGGCCTTAACAGCATCGGTGCTTTGTGCACTTATATATGATCTACACAGTAAAACAGTTTTAAAATAAAAAAGGTGAAAAAGATCAGACATTCCATGAGTGAGTCCCTTGTGCATATAAATACATTTGAAGTCTTTGTCCTCTCTTTTTGTGAAGCACATGCCTAAAGCCAATTTGTAAAATAAATCCTAAAAAAAAAGAAAAAAACTTGAACATGAAATAAAAAACAAAAAATATTCACAACAATTGTTTCAATTGTTGCTCTTGTCCACTTTGAATATTTACATGTTATTTTCAAAAATCCAAAAAGTTTTTTTGATATGTATGTGCAGTATGCACATTGTAATTTTCAACGTTTAAATAGCATAAGTCTTCCAAGTTTGAAAATCCAAGAAATTCCCAGTAAGGTCAACTACTGTAATACACCAAAAATAAAGTCTGTTTTCCATCTGGTCTGGCTATACTCTGGTTGTAGAATGTGAATGTGGATGCGGATGTGGATGGGGGTGGGGAAGTGTGTTATTTTGTCCCGTAGTAAAAGTATTAAAGGCATGTATAGATTGAATCCCTGGTATGGTGTTAGGGATCATTGTTATAGTATTGGGGGTCATTAATGGAATATCATCTGGGGATCTTCTCATTGCTAAAGTGTAGTCTGGAGGGCAGGCATTTCTGAGAACAACCTCATGGGGATGGATGGATTCACATTCATGGTCCAAGTCTGTGTGCTTCATTTGAAGAGACATAATTTCCTCTTCTTGTGCATGGGCTATGTCATTTGTAGTATTGCGCTGAGGACTACATCTTCTATGCACATCATGTCTCCTCTTGTCCTTTTTGTAATATAGTGCTGCAAAAGCTAAGATGTTGAGAAACAGAAGAGATGCTCCAACGGCAATAGTGACACTTAATTCAGTGGAATAGTCTCTTTCCAGTGAAAATGGACTGGGCTCTTGGATAATAGTAACTCCATTTATTGTGGGAATAGCTGAAGTTACAGGTAAAAGAGGTTTCCTTGTTTGTGTAGAAGTGATATCTGTAGATGGCCCTTTTGTTGTGGTGAGGTCATTAATAACATGAAGATGTGGAACCAACTCTAACCAAAGATTAACTTTATTAGCCCTATAATGTTCTTTAACTCTGGGTTTTAATCCAATGTGGAGGTATAATTGGTCCTTTTGTGAATATCTAGTCCATGCAACTTCTTCAAAGCGATTTGGCTTTGTGTGGATGAATTTTGTGTCTTGTGGTACAGGCTGATTTGGATCTCTAAAACAGAAAGAAAATTTAGCATATCAATAAATGTTAGATATTTAAATACATAGAAACCACTGCTTAACATGCTTAAGGCCTTCTTTTACTTTTCTTGAAAATCCAGTAGCATGGGTTAAGCATGCTTAATTAATAAAATGTCTTTTTATATGATTCCTTTCTAATAAAACCTATCAAAGATTGAGAGCCTAACAAGGCTGAGGAATTCATATACCGTATATTTGTATAATCTTCACAGTACAGGCTACACCCACTGTCAACGCAGTAACATTTCTGACAGTTGACTGAACAGGGGTAGGGCTTATGACCAGGATAGGACAGACTTACCATTGATTTGGGTAGAAGTCAAGGTTCTGTTTACATTAGTTATAGGATGTAAAGGGTCTCAACAGCAACACAGGGACACAGCAACACAGGGATCGATTAAAAACTAGCATATGTACTTCCATATCAACACCTTTGTCACCTAAGAAAACATTTTAGGTTGGGTGTACTTTTACAAGCAATTTTGTTTTGTGCAAATCATCAATTTAACACTAACTAGACCATGGCAGTTGCCATTGGTACCTATGGAAAGCAGAAAACATACTACTTCCAACGTAACCTGAAGGGAAAATGAGCATTCACGGTATTCGCATGCATTCGCATGCATTAGAAATGTTCAAGTGGGAAGAAATTGGGAAGTCATCCGATGTGATAAAATTATTATATCTAACTGCTTCCCTTTTAATTATTAAATGAAGATGACTCCGTGTGCAAAAACAGTAACTTTCAATGCTTATAATAATCTATAACTATATTAGCTGACATTTCCAACAGCTATCATTTTTACACTGTAAAAATATGAACAGTATATATCAATACACTCAAACGACTCTTCTGATTAGTAAAAGAGGGAAGCTAATAAAAGTGAGTGCAGCCAAGATAAACTCAGCCTCAGTCTTTTCTGTATATTATAGTGTATGGGTTTCAATGGCCTATTTAAATAAAGTACATTGATACTACTTTTACCAAAATTTAGCAGTGCCATTATTTGTCGGATACTTGACAATAACTCAGAAACAAATTTGCCTATCTAAGTAATTTTTACATAGTTTTTAAAAAAATACTATTTATTAAAAAAAAACTTAATTGTGTCTCTTTTTAAAAATCATTTGTGTTGTGCACAGAGAGATGGCGACAGCTTTTTAACAAACAAAGCCAAGGCTAACCTGATGATCACATGATTGGAAACCATGCTTATTGGTTTCAATCATTAGTAGCAAGCAGAACTCTCAGTGAAAGCCCTTTTTCACAGCTAGCAGCTGAGCTTGTGTTGGTAATGGTGATATTCATCTTTTGAAATGTTTTCTAATATAGTATAATCTTTCTAAATAGCACTACAGGATTTGGTTTATACAAATTGGGGAATTACTATAGCTTTAAACTATGACACTAGCATAATGTTGTCAGATGTATTGCTCTTTGTGTAAAGTGGTACAGCACAAAGATAATGGCCTGTCCTAATTGGCTATGATGATGGACGTGTGAAAAAGTCTGACCATTGATTCAGGAGTCCAGGTGTAGCAAGGCTACAGTCAAATGGCTTGATGATTGGCTGATGCTTACTTTCTATATCTGCTATAGCTTAAAGTAGGGCTCTGGTAAGAAGAAAATGTAGCCCTTGCAGTGGGGCTACCTTTGCACTGGAAGGGTTAAGTGCTTGTTTTCGTTTTAGGTGAGTATTTCATTGTTATTTTAGACCCTTGACAAAAATGAGCACTTAACCCTTGCAGTGTGGGGTAGCCTGGAGTTCTTTTTTAACATCATTTTATCATAACTAAATG